ATGCAGTGTATGAACTTCTAAAATGCACATTCCATCTTACTAATATGCATTTTATTAACTTCTAAAATGCACATGCATATTCATAAAATGCAACATATGAATTACTAAAATGCAGATGTCATAGCGATGAGATGTAGTATATTAGTATGAAGTATTAAAGCGCACATTTCATCATACTAAAATATAATATATGAACTCCTAAAATGCACATGTTATAATGATAATATGCAACATATGAAACTATTAAATGCAGATGCCACAACGGTAAGATGCAATATGAACTACCAAAGTGTACATATTATCATACTAAAATGTAATATATGAACTCCTAAATGCACAGGTTATAAAGATAAGATGCAACCTATGAAACACTAAATTGCAACGTCGATATAGTTTATCACTATGTAGATCTAATATAAATTGTGGAGACATTATAAATATAAAATGCACATCCTATCACCTTAATATGCACAACCCGTAACCTTAATATGCACATCTCGTAAACTTGATATGAACGTTTAGTAACTTTTATATGAAAAAACTTCTACTAGTGCTCATTTCTTCAATCGAGAAATGTCCAACTTATCACGTATAAGTTTTGAAAATTGGAAGGTTAATTATGGAGCGTCTGAATCCGTATATCAAGATATTAGTTTTGTAAATGCTATCATGTGTGTTTGTAGTGATATTACAATCTTCTTTGTTGGATAAAAAAATCTCACATTAATCTTTATATAAAGATTCAACTTCCTAAAAATAAGTATAATGAAAAATAGATGGAGGTCGAAATATTAGTAGTGGGTTACCTAAAGTGTTTGGATATTGGTGGTGGATTACATTAATTAGTGGTAGAATATTAGTGATGAGTTATTTCCGTTCTTTCCTTTTCTACTTGGAAGCTCTGTTTAAAAAGTTAAATGACTCTGATAACTTTTCCCACCGATCACTCCAATAAAAGCTCAAACGGTTGAGATTCTCTACATCTCAACACACGCCCCATTATTGTGGATGGCTTTTATCCGCTTTTGATTCTACAGATATGGACGGATGTGATGAGTTTGTAGGTTAGCACCGGAAGCTTGGTTTGCATGGGATCTCACCCCTATATATATATATATATATATATATATATATATATATATATATATATATATATATATATTAGAGATCAAGTGCAAACTCATCTTACTATGCTAACCTACTAACTTAATCCTAGCCATTCATCTAACTCAAATCACCATCCGTGTAACGTTAATTGCTGAATTGAGGACTAATTAAAAGTAAGGATGTTTTGGTCAATTACTCATCTTTCCATACCTTAACCGCCTACTTTCCGTTTCTTCTTTCCTTCCATATTTGCGATCGATAATGGTTTTCATCTCTGCGCTCGTCTTCGTCGTCCAAATAATGAATTGCTTCAAGTAATAATCTGTCAACATTGTCATCGAAATCCATGGAACCAGGTATTCGTATATCTGATGAAATCTGTTTTCATTCATTGATCGTTTTTTTGTCATGTCCATCCTCTATGTTTTCACATACAAATTTCATCAATACACTTCGTTAATGTTACCTTCTTTCACTTTGTATGTTTGAATTTGTTGTTTGTTCTGTTTCATTCGCCAATTCTATTTTGTTTATCAATTATGAATGAAGGAGGACCTTCTTTCAGTTTTGTATGTTTTAATTTGTTGTTTTTTCTATCATTCGCCAATTCTATGTTGTTTATCAATTATGAATGAATGAATATTGCAGCTTCATTAACGTCAATGGATAAACATTAAGTTTTTTATTATTTTCTTAATTTGTCTCTGTTTTCCGTTTTTGTCTTCTGCAAGGTGATATATGCATTAATTTTATATATATGGTGCATTTATTCAAACTTTGTTTTGTAGTGTTTATCCCAGATTTTGGTCATGTTTAATATTATGTATCGTTTGTTGTTTATATAGATCCCAATTGTGCTTTGCAAATTTCTCCTGGGGGTTCAAAGTACTGGCTCCCTCAAGGGTCACCCGAAAAGAAACCTATTGTTGGGATTTGATATTTTGTAATGTAGATGCTGCCTATCTTTACTTTTTATAAACAATATGCTGCTGAATTGGGCTTTACTATTCGTCATCATGCATCTAAGGGATGATCTTGTTTATATACATTTTCATCACAAATTTGTTCTGAAGGGAGAGGTGCGGTGCTTAAGGAGGTCCAAGTTTAATTAGCGGGTTATGCAGCCGATCCCTAAGCATTGGGGTGATGTTTTATGATATAGATGCAGACATAAAGTTTTACAAAGAGTTTATAGTTGTATTTTGCCCCATAATGATAGCAGAAATTACCCCTTAAATAAATAGGATTTCATGATATGAATAAGTTTATTTAGTTATATTGTTCTGTTATCGTTCCATGTATTGGTATGTAAAATGTAAACAAATTTGAAAAATGAATCTATTTTTACCTTTTCTTCGTTGTAAATGTGCACATGTGATTCACTTTTTCGTATTATAGTTGCACTTTAGAGTACATTGAAATGCATTCTCAAATCCATTTATATGCATAATAATTTCATTTATTTATTAAACATACTCCACTAATGAGGACATTTGTTTCTTTTGATATTTGTATCAAATAGTTATGTGTTATATCACGCTTTATTAAATTAGTGAATGCATTTCATAGTATGTATGGCTGCATTCTATAAACCGCCTCGATCTTTGCATAATAAAGATAAATGTAGCAGGTCTGTTAATATGTAATGCACCTTATACATCACAATGGTGCATCGTCATATGCTATGTAATGCATAGTTCACTATCTCTTCCCAATGTGTTAACGTTGTTGAACTAAACTCATTCATCTGAACTCATATAACACTTAATTACATCTAAAACTTAGATTCTCATACACCACTTCAAAAATAATAAACCAACATTAAAAAATGTTTTCAAAATTCATTGTCACAATATATTCACATGTCACAATGAAAAATATGTTCATATACATGCATACTTTTCGAAATTCGGGTAACACTTTACCTACATAATAGTCCTATTTTATGTTATATATCTCAAATGTATAATGATGCATACTGTTGCTCATCACGGTGCAGCATACAAGTTGTTAAGATGAAAGTATTTTTTTTTTAAAAAAAAAAAAGATGCAAGTAAACTCATACCAAACCTTCATTCAACCAAAATAAGTGTGTATTCAACATTCACAATACAAACCATCAACATAATATGACTGCAACCATGATTTAGAGCATTTTTGTCATTTAGAGCATTTTTTTAATATAAAGTGCATCTTGCCTTCTAAACCTCATGATTTTCATATGCATGTCACATGAGTTTAGAATGCAGATGTCATGACGATAAGATGCAGTATATGGTCCCCTAAGATGCGCTTGTCATCTTACTGAAATGCAATACATATGAACTTCAAAAAATGCACATGTGATAATGATAAAATGCAACATATGAATTTTGAATTAAAATGCACACGTCATAATGACTAAATGCAACGTATCGGCTTTCAAAGTGCAACGTAACAGATTAATTAGCTCAATATGACAACCATTATATAAATAATGCTCATATCATGTGTCTGAAAGTACAACATATGCACAACTAATATGCAGCCGTTATAATTATGAAGTGATTAATTTCGTAAAAAAGGAATTTATTTAACAAATATTATCATATGTGTACGTTTTAATAATAAAATGCACATCTCGTAACCTTAATATGCAATTTGCACGTATGTTGAGCACTCATATGCATGTGAGTTGAGTATACGATGCAAATGTCATAACGATAAGATGCAGCATATGAACTTCTAAAGTGCGCGTGTCATTTTACTAGAATGTAATATATGAACTTCTAAAACGCAACATCGTCATATTTAGTGTTATATATGCATATATTAAACTTCTCCATGTGTTGAAATATTAACTATTTCATTCAAAAATGGGAGCTAGGTTTCGAAAATAGAGTTTCATTAAGGGTCGATTGATTCTGTGAATCAAGAGATTAATTTTACAATGCTAACATTAATTATTAATTACAAAAGGTACGTTGTTTTTCAATTTATGGCTAGCATCAATTAAGGGTTACCTTGTCTGCCACTTACTTTATATAAATTGCCTATATTTGAATGGTTAGTGGATTAGTAGGAAGTATCGCACCGTTCTTATCGATTAGTGGGATCTTTTTGTTTTATAAAATTACCTTGGTGTCCTTCTAAATGACTAAGAAGCTGTTCTCTTCACCTGATCTGAATGTTTCTGATCTGAATTTTTTAAGTTCTGATCTGATCTGATCTGAATTTTTCTGATCTGATCTGATCTGATCTGAATCTTTCTGATCTGATCTGATCTGATCTGAATCTTTCTGATCTGATCTGATCTGATCTGAATCTTTCTGATCTGATCTGAATCTTTCTGATCTGGTCTGATCTGATCTGAATGTTTCTGATCTGATCTGAATGTTTCTGATCTGATCTGAATCTTTCTGATCTGATCTGATTTGAATATTTCTATAATTATAATTATAATTATAATTATAATTATAATTATAATTATAATTATAATTATAATTATAATTATAATTATAATTATAATTATAATTATTATAATTGCAATTACAAATATAATTTAAATAAAATTATAATTATAATCGTATGTGTCTAAGTGCACCGTTTTAATAATGCTCCTCCTACGCATCAGCAGTCCGTATTGCCTAATCCAACGGTTGGTAATTGGTTTGTAGTTTGCACCGGAAGCATGGTTTGCATGGGAACTTCCCCCTATATATATATATATATATATATATATATATATATATATATATATATATATATATATATATAGATAAGAGATCAAGTGCAAACCTATCTTAATATGCTAACCTACAAACTAATCCAGGCCATTCATTTAGTTAAGATCTGCGTCCGTTTCAGGCTAATTGCTCAATTCTGACTAATTAAAAGAAAGGGTGTTATGGTCAATTACATCTCTTTTATAATGGGAAAAAATCACGCTCATTACTTTCCATTCCCATAAACCGCCTATTTTCCTTTTCTTCTTTCATTCCATCTTTCCAATCGATCAAGGTTTCATCTGTGCGCTTATCTTCCTCATCGAGATTATGAATTGCTCGAACTCATCTCCCACCATTTTCATCGAACGTCATGGAATCAGGTATCCCTATATCTTTGATGAACTCTTTTTCCGTTTCTTCTTTCCATCCACCTTTGCGATCGATCCTGTTCTTCTTGCCATCCACCTTTGTGATCGATCCTGTTCTTGTTTCCGTCCACCTTTGCGATCAATCATGTTTTTCATCTCTGTTTGTCTTCATCGTCGGATTATGACTTCTGCAGTTAATCATCTCCCAGCATTGTCATCAAACGTCATGGAATTAGGTATTCTCCTATCATTTGATGCAATCTTCACTTTCTTCATTATTCCTTCTTTTTGTTCGTGTATTGTGGTCGAGCATTTTTTAATTGAATTGATTCACATTACATGTTGATATTACTGTTGGACTTGTCCAAATGAATTTCATAATTAAATGTTGATCATGTTTCTTTCCTTGACTTTGATGATTTTTTTTCTTTTGTGCTTTGTTGTACATAAATTGGGTATGAAATCATACTCCATCATCTATCATTAAAGTCAAGTTGTAAATAATTGTTTTGAATTTGTTCAAATTTATCTATCTCTTCCAATTTTGTCTTCTTCAAAGTGTTTATGTATTATGCATTTGTTTTGGTTTTATGGTGCATTTAGTGAAATAAGATGTTGACTGTTGTTTAATATTACTTGTCTTTAGACTTGGATGTAAAACCCTTTGACGGTTGTTTCTGAAGGACTTGAAATTGGAACGCATTCCGGACCATTTGGTGAATAACAGATGGTGCATGAAGGATTTAGTGAAGGCATTGACTGAAATTTCAGATTTCATATTTCAGCAAACTATATTGTTGGAGGAGAATAAGATATATGTTAACACTTTATGGTCTGATATTTATTTTTGCATGACCCTTGTTGAAACTTAACCCAGTTATTTAAAGCATTCTCTAGTATTTTTAAAGAGCAAAAGGAGATTTGTTTTCTCTATATGAAGGTGTTGGTCAGGGTTCAACAAAGAAGTCATAACTTGAATCCTTTTATGGTTATGGTGTGCCATCCGAAGTTATTGTGCATCCCCTGCAGCATGCCAAAAATAAGGGAACTTCTTTTATGGTTATGGTCTGCCATCCGAAGTTACTGTGCATCCCCTACAGCAGGCCAAAAATAAGGGATCTGGCCGTAGGATTAGGTCTTCAAAGGAAGTTTCAATGGAAGAATCTAAATGCCCCAAATTACTTTGTAGATCGTTCAATGAGATGGCGCATCATGACATTATGAATTGCCCTTTGAATAAATAGACTTTCTTAAACTTAAAGTGTCATTTGCTAGTTTTGTTGTTTGACATTGTGTCTTTGTGTACAATCTAAACCTTATGTTTGAAATGCAAATACTTTTATGTTATTGGTTTTTTATTTTACTCTTGTATAATACGTTTACAAATTATGGTTATTGTCATTTTAAATATTGTCATTAATGAGTATTCGTTGATGCATCATTCATGCCAAGAGGTTATAACCCTTAAAGTCATCTTATACATCAGAGTGTTGCATCTTTATATGGTGTGTAGTGCATACAAAATTCATTCACGAATAAGTAATGCACTATAGACTCGTACTCATGCATTGCAAGTAGATTAGACTTGCATCTTACAACAAATGTTTATGCATACATGAAGCTCGATCAAACATACAAACACACTTATGTATGATTTCAACCATAGTATTTGATATTTACTAAGCACACATGAGAACCAAAACAATTTTATGCACGCACCCTACATGCATATTCCAATTTACCTGTGTATCAGTGTATGTAAGCTTATACTCTATGCAATTTTATTATTCAATGCAAGCATATAACTCAAACGTAAAATGATGCATAATATTTCTCATTAAAGTGCATCATACAATCTGTTAAGATGCATGTAAAGTAATACCAAAACTTCATTCAACCAAATTTAATCTATCATAAGATATGTTTTGTTACTAACGTCATTCAAAACTTCCATAGGTGTCCACCCACACAATAAAACATATCATAGTACTTTTCAACTAAAACATAAACAAAAACATATGCTATGTAAAGTCATACTACTTTTTAAACTACAATGGAAACAAAATCTATGCTACTTTATTGTTCTATGCAATTCATATAAATTTTCATAGTATATATTTCAAATGTACATTGATGCATAATATTGTTCATTACAATGCATCACACAATCAATTAAGATGCATGTACAATTATACTAAAGTTTCATTCACCCAAACTAACTTTTTGGATTGCACATTCACACACTAATCAGAAACTACTAGAGTCTACTAATGTCATGTAAACACTTCCTTAGGTGTCCAACCACACAATAACATGAGTGTATAATACACATCTTGTATTCTTAATATGCATATCATGTGATATTAATATGCACATCATATAACCTTAATATGCATATCATATAACACTAGTATGCACTTGAAGTACATCCGTTGTGCTTCAATTAATTATGTTGAACTATTGACTTCTACAATCAAGAGCCTACATCGACCATATTCAGGTTTAAAAAACGAATAATTTATTAAAAAGTGTTTCATTCTCTAAATTAAAAGAGCATCTTCAATGCTACCATGTGCACAATGCGCATGTGCCATGAGAGATAGACACATAAAAATGGAGAGAAATAGTAAAAATGCATTAAAAATGGTAACTTTCTTCATAATGGAAGGCACCTTTTTTGTTAAAATTATGATACGTGGATGCAATTTGTGTAATTAAGAGATCTTCAACTTACCTTTTTTAATATTTAAAAATGGAAGGTCAATCATTATGTAATTTATTTCTTCTTTCTTTATAATTAATCATTCAAAAAACGGAAGTTAGCTACTTGGACGGTTAATTAAATGAGATGTGGCATAACATCAATGGTTGCATAGTTCAAACTTACCAATATAAAAAAACGCACGTCGCTGATACGTACATTAAATCAAATGACTCATATACCCATTTTAAACTCATTGACCGAATATAAGTTGCTTCCAATATTTATTCCATGCGTGTGAGTGCAAGATTATAATGATGCATCTCATACGATCAACTGTCCGTTTTTTTAATCCAACGGTTGCTAATTGGTTTGTAGGTTAGCATGGGAAGCTTGGTTTGCATGGGATCTCACCCCTATATATATATATATATATATATATATATATATATATATATATATATATATATATATATATATATACATACATACATACATACAAAATTCCTAGTTAAGTATATATATCTCATACTTAAAAAGACCAGAACTCATACAGACAAGAGCATACCAGACTTAGACCATGGTAAGGATATTTGTAAGTAGACATGTTTCAGAACATGCAGACAAGAGCATACAAGACTTAGAGCGTAGTAAGGATGTTTTTAATTAGACATGTTTCAATCCCAAATAAGATCAGATTAGTTCAGAACAGACTAGTTCAGAACAGACTGGACAATTTAAAAAAACATAGGTTAAAAAAAGTTAAGACCAGACTTTTTAAACAAAGCATAATTTAAGAAGTAATTTCACAACATTAAAGCTAGAAGACTAGAATATATTTCTTGCTTATGAGCGTATTGATTTAATGGTTTCAACTTTCAAGTTTAGGTTGCATGTAATTTAAACTGTGTTCTCTCGACATAAAACCAAATGCTCAGCTTTTTCAAAGGGAAACAATTAACTCTTCCACGTGGGTTCTTATCAAAAAAGGCAAAAAGCAAGTTAAGTTCCAATCACAAAACTAAAGCTATTACGTATATTCTCATACAAGTTGTTTAATTGAACGGAGTTCTTTAGTTCGAAGGGTGACATATTTAGTGACAAAGCTGAGAAAGTTTCATCTCGTCATTAGATCTTTGCAATACACAATTTTAGTGGTCCTTTAATCCTTTTGTGACAATTTCAAAACACAATGTCGATCATAACTCACACTCTTATTTTATGCGTTTGTAAATCGAATTGAAAGTCTTATAAAAATGGCAAAATACCACACCAAAACGGACTATGTATAACCATTAGTTATAGCAAAAGTTGATGATAATTTCAACAACATTGGCTGTCCATGGTGAAATCATCTCAACCATGCATGAATTATCTCATTCCAATTATATATTTTGTCGAGTTCCAAAAAAAAACACCACACGGTCACTGGTTTCACGTGGTTAAAAAATTAAAACGTGCTCTTTTTCTCTCCACTAATCAAAATGCACCCGATACGGCCGGTAATGTAATTTACACACAATCGAGTCTTAAATTAGCTAAGCGGGAGGAATAATAATAATACCTGTAATATTAGTATGAGTAACGTAGGACCAAATGTACAATTGGCATCCAACAAACCACTTTCCAATCATGATTTAAAAGTATCTCCACACGTTCTCTATGACCCAGCCAGCTGAAACACTACCTTTTGATTTTTTTTCCTTTTTCTTCTTTAATTTTTATATTTATACATAATTATGATCAGAGCCGTCTTTTAGCATGTTAATTAGATTAATTAATAAACAGAATATAGCTTCACTTTCCATAGGGTCCCAATACTTATAAGTCACTAGTAGTATTATTTCTAGGTCACTAACATAGTAACATTAATTAATTAATATAATATACTACCTCCGTCCCAAAAAGAGTTACAAATTTGACTTTTCTTAGTCAAACAGTCTTATTTTGTTCATTTAATTAGGATGTCAATTTTTAATTATTTTCTGATTTGGAGTTTACACCTTTGAAGAGATTTTAATGTAGTTTTTGAATATGTAAATTTTAATTATTAAAAATTGAATTAATTATTCATAAGGAGGGTTGACTTTTATTATTGGTTGACCAAAAAATGTTGACTTTGCAAAATAAATTGAGACGAAAGGAGTAGTACGCTATCGTATATGAATATGGGTTGCAACTAAATTCATACTCAATGCCCTCATAAATTGAAACACTTTACAAAAATGTAATTATTAATTATTTGAGATGGAAAAATTACTACCTATAGTTTTTTAATTGCATTATTTAATGAGTATTCGACTGATTTAATTTCAGTATAATAAGAATTTAGATCGAATATGTTTTTTTAGTCTTTTATATTAAAGCGGGCCTCAATTTAGAGCAAGGGCCTTCAAATTGGTGCTGAATTCATATTTAAAATATATACATTCTGAGTTTATGACATTCATACATGCATAGTGATGCATACATGATACATGCATCCCTCTTGTGCATAACGGAGTAATTCATTTTAGAATATTTTAAGTGTATATATTAGTGGCTATGGGTGATGGGGTTTGTAGTTCGTAATATATACTCCCTCCGTCCCTATTATATCTTCCAAATAGGTTTGGCACAGAGTTTAAGATAGTGGGTATTGTGTGGTGGAGAGTTGTGCAGAGGAGAGAGAAATGTGTAAGAATTGCTGTGAACCACAAATTCTGGCCAAAAAAGGAAAGTGAAAGTTTTAATTGGGACGGACGAAAAAGAAAAGTTGGAAGTTTATTTAGGGACGGAGGGAGTAAATAATAAAAATAATTTATTCCATTTAACATTTACGAGATCTTAATTCACACACGTACGTATGGGTGCAGATCGACCCTGTTTTCCACGTATATTGACTAGCTTCACTGTTAGTGGAGGACTTAAGGGACATGTGGGGCAAGTGAAATGTCTGGCTTTTATGCCACGAAAATAAACAGCAGTATTAATAATTACGTAATACGTAGTAAGTTATCATGTAGTATGAGTGTTTGATTGAAAGTGTAGAAGAACTTTTGGGTCTCAAAATTGCTTGTAAAAGCAGTTTTTTAGAAGTTGGGGAAAACCAGATTCTGAAAATTGATTCTGATAATGTTTTTGTTTTTAAAAAAGAAGCAGAAGTAGAATCAGATTCAAACACCCCCTTTGTATATATACAACGATATATTCTGGGTGTACATAAAATTTGTATACACTTGTCACACATTTGAACGTAATTATCTACTTACGTACACAAATAATGTTGTACGAGTTAGCTGTGTACACAAGTAACTAGAGGATGTGCACACTATCTATGTGCGCAGATAATTATGCACAAATGTATGTCAAGTGTATAAATATTTCGTGTACAGATGTACTTCTTTTGCATAAACTATTAGAAAGAAACATTATTGTGTTGAATAAAAAGCGTAATACGTAGTATTATTTAAACCATATGTCTAAAACAATATCGTTTTGAGTTCGAGTATATTTAAATATCGTTTTGAGCTCGAGTATTTTTAAATAGAAGTGGTACCCTCTATTTTAGAACTCGTTAGGCCCTAGCCGGGCAATTGAAGGGTACCCAACATTTAGGCACCGATTAGGCGCTGACTAGGCCAATTTTTTTACCGGCTAGACTGATTAGTCCTTCAC